AAGGTATTCATTATGTTCCTGAAAATCACACTAATGGAACTTCTATTGATAAAGTATTTTGTGAAATCGGTCCTTGACAGCATAGTGTTTTCAATTATTTAGAACATTAAATTTTTGTCACAGAACATTCTCTATGAAACTCTACTACAGTCAAAATATCAGCTTTCTAGCACGATTTCTTCATAGAATGTCAATATTCATATAGTACTGCAAACATGATCATTTTGTTGTGCATCTCTTAGTATTGATGAACTGCATTTTTACGATTATTATATCAAGTTAAAGCATGTAAACAATGAACAGTTCAATAAAAACGGATCTGTTTTCGCTGGAACATGTCTATAATAAAAGACCAAACAAATGTACTTTTTTGTGGGTAGCGTTCTCAGCAATATTTACGCACTTTCGTAACTGAACAGTATATTTTTAAATAATCTAGGTCAACATTCTTTAAAGCTGTTATTTTTAATACATATTTCAAAATCAGAAAACTGTAATAACTTTCATTGAAGACAAATTTAGTGATACTGCATAAATATTGACTTATAGAACGGCATAAATGAACCTCTACCTGTGATACTCAGTAATTTTCACATCACCGTTTTTATCCAAGAAACAAAATCGGATTCGTGAATACGTCATTTCACTTTTTGATCCTTTCTATTTTCATGACATTCTTGTATCCGGGATACGGTGGCGATCCGCTTTTATGGAATGCGGTGATCATGTGTATCAGCGCGGTAGTGTAAGTCGCATCTTCATGAAACGTGCTGAGAAGATTGTGTTTACGATATTCAACACATTCTGTGCTTGAAATTTCGAGTACCTCGGCGACCTTTCATTGGGTTCGGAGTAAGTCTTCACAAATTTGATACAAAGTTCTCTCCAAAACTTTTCTACACTGAAAACATTTTTCAACGAAAACCGCGTTGAACTCGATTGTTCGCGGTGTCAAAAACCGAGGGCTGGCAAAGATCCACAAAATGTCCACTTTACGAAAAGTCCTTTGAAGTTATAAAGGACCTTACTAAGAGAGCAAAAGAACATTCAATTTATCGAGTGTCACTTATAAGAAATTCTTCTTTTTTTCAGCGGACTTTTCATGCGACCTTTCTTTTTTTACTCGGACATTTCTATATGCAGAAGAACCTTTCTCTATTCGGTTCGATATATTCCTAGGATTTGTAGCGGACCTTTCTATTTTCAAGCGGATCTTTCATGTTACTTTTCATATTCTTAAAGTGACTGTGATAATTCATACGAACATTTCCATTAGTGGGGTGTTAACGAATGAATATTGTCAAATTTTCTGCGGATGAAACGTGCTTTTGTATGATGAAAAGCTTCGGTAGATAGTAAATTGAGACCATTCGTTGATGTTTTTCGTAATAATTGCAAGATATGGTGTTTATTCATGAATTTTTATGGAAAAGAATAAGAATAGAGTTGACAGTGATATGAAATTTTTTTATTTGTAAAAGAGAGTCTCGTTTGAATTTTTATGTAGTATTGTGATACATAGTTACTGGGTTTCATCAAGAAAGGAATATATGTCGAAGCACAGGAGATAAGATAACAGAAAGCACGTGGCGCAGAAATAAAAGAATACGAATATCATTTGTTGAAGAAGGAAAAGAAAACTGTTTTACGCAATGAATGAAATATTGGTTACAATAAAATTGGATTGTCGTTCGCACAGAAGACACTCTGGAATTTCGCTGTTATTTTATCTTTATATATGCCTACAATAAGGAATAAATAGAAAATAAAATATCGAGAGTTCAGAATTGAAGATAAATGAATCGAGTATAAATACAGGCGTTCTTCTTATGGCATAAAGATTAACTAAATGTTTCTACTAAAAAGATGTGCAGAATGATTTTCTCTAATTTATCTGTGTATTATAACAATAGTTAAATTTTATATGCTTAAATAACAATAAATTTAAAAAACTGAATACTTTTCATTTAAAAAATGCAGAAAAATATTTTCTCTAGTTTATTCTCATAAAATACGGAGAATCACTTTCTTTAATTTATCTCCATATGATAACGATTGTTAAATTTTAGTCAGTTGAAGTGAAAGGAAAAGTCCTTTAGAAAAGAGAAAGATCCGCTGGAGAAAGGAAAGATCCACTTGTAGCTTATCCATGTTTTGTCTTTCCTTCAGCTACTTATATATATATAAGTATATGATATTTCATAAGGTACGTAAAGTCCCACATTTAGTCATGGGACTTTTTGTGAAGTGGACATTTTTTCGATCTTTGGCATTGCTGCAAAAACCGCGTTGAGCTAAACGGCAATCGCGGTAATTTGCAACGCGATTGGTCGCGGTATTAGCGCTACAGTGAATATTTGCCAGTATTGTCTTTGCGCATTTCGTACGATACTTAGTTTGTTACTACAACAATGTGTAAGAACAGAAAGGATATCGTGCGCACTTTACTATCTGTAACGTATTATAAAGTTTAATATGAACTTCGTCGCTGCAAGGCGACTTTGAGGTATTGGAACTTATAGTTCACTACACAGCCCCACGAAGGGTACCTAACCTGATCATTACGAACTGATCAGGTCACCTGTAAAAAATACGTTATTCAGAAACCGCGGTTATCATCGACTTTTCTGCGTTTTTCAAAACCGCGTGTTGTGGAAACTGCGTTCTAACGCGTTAAGAAAAACCACGGTTTTCAGCGTCTTTTTGAGAGACGCCTAAAAGGTCTGACTCCCGCGTTTACGAAATACCGCTAGAAACCGCGGTTAGTCGCGTTTTTTTTACGAAATTTTTTTCGTGGGCAGCGCATCATCTATAATCCAGTGAATTAAACTGTTGAAATCAAACACATTATTTGTATTTTTGATAAAATAACTCCATTTGAGTGCACCATTTTCCTTTGTCCTTGATTGCGTTGCTTGTGACGAAAACAAAAAGATTTTTTTCAGATTGATTTTATTGTATTTGTGTACTATAGAACTGTATTCATTTATTTGGATTTCAATAATCCATCGCTATTCAAAAAACAATTTCATACATATATCCTATGAATAAATTGCAGCAATGTCATCATTCATAGCCAAAAATATGCATCCTACTTTCGTGCGCTAAATTTGCATCTTAATAATGTTTGTACCTGGATTGCATTTATAAGCAAAGAAAAGGGACGACATAAGAATTCTATTGCTCTAGTTTTGTTTCTTTTCTATTGAGATGAATTTGACGAGTGAAGCAAAAACTACCGGAAATTTGCTGAGATAATCATTAGCTAATGTTTTTCTTTACTTCGATTTCTGGATTAATCATCTATTTAACCATCGAAGATATCGCGAGTGCGTATTATAATGTTTTTTAATTATACATGGCCAGGACGGTTTATTCAACTGTCTGTGAATCTTGAGGGTGTGGGTGTGAGTGGCGTATAGTTTCATATCCATCCTCACCCCCACCCCCACACCGACACCAACATCCACGCTCTCAAGACGTTTGTTCCGTTGACAAACAGTGCATCATAAATCTACTATCAAAATAGTATATAAATATTCTTATCAGTGAATCCATAGCATAAAACAATTTTTATTTCGTTCTCCTGTATCGTAAAAAAAGCCATTCGGATGTCGAACAACCGTGTTTATACCGTGGGCGGGGGCTCTCTAGACATCGTTGGCGATCGTGATGTTAGTGCTGATTTTATGTTGGGCACGCCACAGGCTACAGGAGCACTCGTCTGGGTTCAGAATACATACGCATCCCAATACAATCATGCTGTTCGATGTTGGGAAGCATTTGATGGTGCCAGTAAAAAGAGGCGAATGCATGGAGGTCATCTATTATTATATAGATGGCTTATATTCGCTGTTGTCATTGTCTCGTTTGTGTTGGGTGGTCTGAGTAACCAAGTTCAAGCCTATATTGCATTTCCAATCGTTGCCACAGTGATCTATATGAATTTGACCATATGGAATTGGCATGTATTTTGAATCAACGGAAGTCTTCGGCATCCACACATGATACAGGTGCCTGCAAGAATAATTCCTGGATGGTCAAACAAGTTCTTTCGCATCCCTATTTATGCTCAAATCACTGATCGCCAAATATTGGGCATAAAACATGAAGTCGGAACAGCTATTACTCAACTTATCCAACAAAGTCATGGAGAAACTTCGCTGCACATCATGGTTTATACAGGCAGCTATATGAGAGACTTGAAATTTCTAAAAGAAACTGTTCTTCATTTTCTAATTTTTATTATCGTTTTTATTGTTGTTATAGCAAGTGTAGTGTCTGAATGAGTTTAATGATCGTTTGGTTCATTTCAGTTGTTTAATGTAATTATATGATATTCTATTATAAAAGAGCAGGAGCCAGATAAATGTGAAGAGGTATGTAGGGGTTAGTGCCAGAATCGAGTAGGGTGATGGTGTCGGCGCGAGAGAATTATAGAGCCATACCCACACTCTAGTTGACTAATTATTTAGTATTAACTTTGAAAATTAGTTTTGGATCATAAATTCTATACAAGTCAAGCGTTTAAAGAAAACATAAAAATAACGAGTGATATGCGGGTGTAGAAAATACAATGCAACAAAACCTAAATAATGAATCTAAAAAGCTATTCAGCGCAGCCCTTTGGGACTAAAATGTGGAACTTGAACATCTTCAGCTCCATTATCGTTACTTTATTATAAGCATTGGATTACACGACAAGAACCACTGACAAATCTTTACAGTTTTATTTCTTGGGTGTGTAGAACAACCATGATATCGATACTTCACTTACGTAACTAGGTGTGGGTGTGTATAGCTACCACAATACCAGGTATTTCGATGTTGCTGAAATAAATCTTGTCAAGTGGCGAGAGGTGGCAGAATTCTCACAAGAAGAACAACGAGAATTCTGTACTAATAACACCTATATGACATAAAGACGCAATGAATAGTATCAATAGAGAATTATGTACCCCTTACAGAATTCTGTCTTACTGTATACACACGCAACCATAGGTCGAAAGCAGAATTTTTATCAGAATTGATCATTTACCAGCAGAATTTTGTAATAATTCTGTGCTATGATTAACACACTTTACCCTATATAAAAATCAGAGCATTAGGAACCAGTATATATTATTGTTAGACACATTACCACGCGTTGTGTACTATGATTGGATATATTAAGGACTATCTATCATAGACTAAATACATAAAACATGGATTTGAGACTTAGGATTTTTTCAGTGTAGCGAAGTAAAAATTGAAATGAATAATCTGGAATAAATATTAATTGTGGTTAAATATCAATAGTTTTAAAGAATTCATTAAAAAAATTGTTTTAATTTCAGTGCACGAAATAAGAATTAAAAAGATATCAATGGAGTTAGTACTTGTTTTAAATAGTAAAGCAATGTTTAAATATCAAACTTTTTCACATCGATTGTATTTAAAGATAGCAAAATATAAATATAAAAACTTTCTTATAAATAGTGTGGGTGTGGGTAGGGGTGGACCATTTTTTTTAACGGAACTTAATTAATGACTTCCATTAGCCATTAATCTTAATGGTTAATGTTTCTGAGAAAAAGTTCATTGATTAATATTAATGATTAATGAAAAACATTAGCATTAATTTTAAAATTAATGTTTTCATTAATCATTAATATTAATGGTTAATGAGAAACATTAACATTAATGTTAAATTAATGTTAATGGCCCACCCCTATGTGTGGGTGTGGGCATGGACGTGGATATGAAACTATACGCCACTCACACCCACCCCCACACCCAAAATTCGAATAAACGCAAAAAAATTAGCTACATGAAACAATTAAATAGTTGAAAACAATGTTTAATTAGTCATTGAAAAATTAAGTAACTGTAGACGAAAGAAAGAAACCGATATGAAGATTAAATTGCTGAATAAGAATTAAATAGCTATCTACAATTAAATAGCTGTGTATATTTACCATTATCTCGATATAAAGCAAATTGTATCTCTTTTGAGAATGAGCCATAAAATGAAAGTCAATTCAAGTCTTTTAAGGAGACGATTTCTAATGAAACCTGGAGCTAAGAAAAGCCAAGAAGAAACGAAAGAAAAATGTGCTCTATCTTCAGCTGTATAATTCGTTCAGTAATTTCTAGGATAATTTTCTGTGATTTGCAAAGCTATTGGACTATTGGATGAAGTGGTTTTTGGAAATTTTGAGATGGATTTTTAGGTTTTCGATACTACAAGCATTAACAATGGAGTATCCGAATAAATTCTATAAGTCAATAGTCTTCTATTAATATCATTTTTGAGAGGTAACACATTTTAATTTAAAAAGAATTATTAAGACGAGAAATAATTTTTTAAATTTAAATTTAAAACATAATTTTTTTACGTACAAAACTATATTTTAATTACATTTTAATTCAAAAAAATTTAATTTATTATAAAGTTAACTTCGTACAATTTTAGTTAGAATTTAACTTTAAGTTGTGGGTAATTTTAATTTCAAAAAGTGAATTGTAAATTAACATTTCTGTCATTTATTGAAAAAAAGAAGTAGCAGTAATAAAAGAGAGTGTTATTATTGTAATGGAATACATTTATGAAGGTGATTAATTGAATAGCATATGGAACAAAATCACTTGATTCAATTAATTTACTCTCTCCTTTATATACGGCTAACTTATCACAAGGAATTTTTATTGCGACAAATTGTCTTGCGACGAAGTGATCGTGCGACGAAATGATTGCGACGAAGTGTGCGGTCACTGATTTTACTTGGAGTAGTTTGCTTTCTAATATTTTCGACATTTCCAAAATGTAACAAGTAAATTGATATGATTTTTGATTAGCATCAACAACAACTTCTACGACTTCTACAACGACCAGTAAGTTTATAAGTACGAAATATAAATAACTTTTACATTCCTATGTGATTAGCCACTTCAACAACTTCAATCCTTCGTCCAGTACAATGTTCCAGTTATACAACAATTTCGGATGCAACTCGGCGTATTTTCTATCCGGGTACCAGTACATGCGATCAGGGGCGGTGGAACGTACTGAAATCAGGTAAGGCTCAGTGAAAGAGAAAATTTTCAAAACTAAGAACAATTTATTTTGAACTAGAGCATTAAACCAAAAAAATGTTGTCTTTTTTCGCTAGATGATATAAATTTGGATGCTATTTGACGTGGATCAATTTTATCAATTTTTTCTTTGTATATATGTAATAGCAGACAGAGATTAAGACGTGATTGAGTCATCGTAGAACGAATTGCAGTTTTTAATCTGTTTAACGTACTAATTGTACGTTCTGCTGTTGCAGTCGTAACAGGAATAGTTAAATATAATTTGATTAATTTCTGATATTCTTTAAACATTTCTTTACCTACTTCACATGAATTAAAAATTTCACAAATTGTTGAAATTTTTGCGATTTGTTTTATGTTCATCTGATTTGTCTTAATTACTGATTGATAGAAATCAACAATCATTAATGCTTCCACCTTCAATTTTTCAACATCAATATCACCATAACAAAAATCCATAATTGATTGAAAGTAATCATTTGAATCATCAAGTGAATTATTCTCTGCATAAAAAATAAACTTCTCAACATTACATAATAATTTAAAGTTCTTTTGTGTAAATCGATTTTGTAACATATTAACAGCAATTCCAAGTGATTTCATATATTGTTGATGATAAAACTCTTCATAACTAGAAAATTCGACAGAATCTGAACTTGATTGATAACGTCTTGGTGGTCTTCGATGTCGTGCTAGGATGGGTTTGTCTGTTAAACTTTTGCTCTCTTTAAGTACCTTAGTATAAAATGATTTAAAATTAATATCATCTGAAAAAAAAACAAATTAAGTAAAACAAAACATCTTTGCACGTCTAAGCTATTTTACCTCGAATACGTTCAAAATAAAGCATAAGAGATTCAGTTGAAGAAAGAACATCTTGTAAACAACAACTTGAACTTTGTATAATACGAGAAAGCTTTTCTGTAGCTGAAAATAGTAAATAACCTAGTTTTAATCCAAAGAATAAATAAAATCTGTTCATTTGTTCATGTAAACCATTAGCTTTAATACCAGAAGCACCTTTTTCTTCAATAAGTGTATATAAGACTCCTTGAACTAAAAATAATAAAGTTATTTACATTTTCGAATAGCACCGTTCGTTTTATGTAATTTATTATTTTCTCTCACACCATGCGAGAAATATCAGAAGAAGAATAAACAAGTACACATAATTGAGATTTTGTATACCTAGTTCATAATTATTTAATAAGGAATTATACGATTCAGCACGCCTAGTCCACCGTGTTGGACATAACGATGCAAGATTTGAATAAGGCATTGATAATTGATTGGATATTTCTTTTAAAATAGAAAGATGTTTTGATGATAGACGAACAAAATCAATTATGTCTTTTGCGAATAATATACAATTACTAATTGTAGGACATTCATTAGTTAAATCATGTACCGCTAAATCTAAACAATGAGCATTACAATGTACAAAGAAAGCTTTAAACTGTTGTTTTAAAACTAAAGCTGATACACCGCCATAAATTCCACTCATAGACGATGCCCCGTCGTAACTCTGACCGCGACAGTCAGAGATATTTAAACGACAACGAGTTAGTATATCAAAAATAACTTCAACAATTGCCTCAGCATTTTGCCGCGATAATTCATAAAGACCAAGAACATCTTCAAAAATTTCATAGTTATCATTTACAGATCGAATACCAAAACATAATTGTTCAAGTGTTGATTCATCACATGTCTCATCCCATGTCAAAGAAAAACATTTTCTGTTGGAAATCTAAATAGAAAAAAAACAAGCATTTTAAACTTCATATGAACGTAAAAACAATATCATATCAATTTAGAACAGAATACTAAAAACGTTTTAATATTCTTTATTTCATTTTTCTACAACTTATCAATAACATAAATGTTCTGTATCAAATGCAACAATGAATTCTAACACATAGTGGTAGTCAGAGCATCAACCAGGCCACTAGGCCTGCCTGCCTGCCTGTGACAGGCCAGACCGAACCCTCGTCCAGGCAGGCAGGCAGCTTAAAAACACCAGGCCGCCTGGCCTGTCGCTATTCTTTATATATATAATTTTATTTTTGATATAAACTTTTTTAATTGAATGTGGCGCTAATAATCAGATGAAGTATAGAATAATGTTCTGTGTTCATTGTGATTGATCCAAATGATGATTAATGTTCAGTTCAAATTGCATAGTTCATTTCCTTTCTCCATTCGCTCTTTGTTTTTTCATTTATCTGTTTTTTTTTAATATTACTGATTATTGTTAAAACCTTTCTTATTGATTATTTTATAGATCTTTTTTTTATAAATTCTTAAAATCTTTACTGTCGATTATCATCAAGTTTCTTATTGATTAATAGAACCCTAATTCACTCTCCCCCGACGACTCCCCGGGGATTTCTCTGGGGAAAATTAATGAAATTTTTTTAAATAAAACAAAAACTTTTTAATTTTTTTTAATTTTAAAAAATTAAGAAGAATTTATTAGTAATTAGAAATTTCATCCATTTTGACCAGATAACTCCCCCGGGAGTCCCCGCAAAAGAACGAAATCCCTAGGGACTCCCTGGGAATTCTTTTAGGGAGAGTTGACTAGGGAATTTGTTTATTGATTATTGCTAAAAATTGTATTATCGATTATCATCAAGATCTTTCTTATCGATTGTTAAAACCTTTGCTTTTTCCTAATGTTATGCGATGCTGTCTCTGATGTATTCTTTTTTGTATGAAAACTTCGATAAGTAAATGCTTAATCTAGTCATATTAAATTAATTAAACTGGTTTTCTTCATTCTCAGCATTAATTACATGTTTCTATTCTATCCTCGTAATGATATTAGCATTAAAAAAATTGACAGACCTTGCCAGGCAGGTCAGGCCGACCAAATTAGTTGACAGGCACAGGCAGGCTTGAAATGCAAAAGCCTGTCACGGACCGGCAAGGCCTACAGAAACACGGCTTGGTTGATGCTCTGGCGGTAGTGTATGACTTACTTCCTTTACAATATCTCGAATAATAAATAAATAAATCTCTCTACAAAGGTCATTAATTATATCATGTGATAAATATTTCTTGTTATTTATCCATTCTTTTAAGAAATTATTATCAGTGCTTCGAAGTTTCAACAGCTGAATCAAATTGCTTTCAATATCAGAGTGTCCTCTAAATGCACGTCCTTGTCGAAGTAAATATATAAGAGAAGAAATTTGTATCAAAAGTGATTCTCGATGTTGTTCTTGTTGTCTTTTGGTTCTTGATATTAATTGTGCAATTACAGTTGGCTTTGTTTGTTGATTAATAACATATATTGAATCAGAATGAATTTTACTTGATTCATGATATTTAAATCTTTCTCTTGCATTCTTCCAATCACAAAAACCATCTGTTATAAAACTTCTATAAGCAGGATTGAATTTCGTTTTATTTGGATGAATTTCACGTTCAAATGCATATCGACATGTATGACAAAATACTTTTTTTAACCTTAAATAACAAAACATATTTTCAGTCAAATTTTGAATTTGATTGTATTTGTTTGATACAAAATCTCACTTTACAAAATGTTAGCCAAGAATGATCCGTAAACCACCATTTTTGGCATGACCGTTTGTCGATTGTTGTCAAGGCTAGTTCATCATCTGTAGCAGGATGATATGGTTTAGACGAGTTACAACAATGGATATCAGATTTGGACGAAACTATTTCGATTTGAGTAGATCGATTAGATAAAGATAAATTTGTTCTTTGTTGTGGTGATATTTGTTTATTTGTATTCGGTGATTTATCAAAATTACCAAAAAATTCAGATTCGTTTTCAGATTCATCATAAATTTCCGGTAAATCATTAATATTGGACGGATTTAAAAGATCAACAAGAGGTGCATTTTGAATTAAAGAAGATGCGTCATGGGTTTTATCTTCAGAAATTGTTGAAACTTCAGTTAACTCAATTTCTTCTGTTAAAAACAATGTTGTATTTTTTATTTTTTTAGTAAAAAAATCAAGAATTGATCCCTCACGTTTTGATGCCATTACTGTTTATAATCTGAAATATTGATTTTTTGATTACGATCGAAAGAATGTACCATTTATCTGCTTAATATTTATATTAATATGAAATCCCCTTTCTTCAACAAGAATAATACTTAGGTCGTACAAAAATTTCCCAGATTATTAAAAAAAATTTATAAAGACAACGAGAAAGTTCGAGTTTTATTTTATTGAATGTTCGAAATAGTCACCATGATTATTTATACAAAGTTCCATCCTCTCTAATACTTTGTCAAAAGTTTTTTTAAGTTCTTCTTCTGGAATATTTTTTATTAGCTTGGAAACTCCACGAGCCAATGATTTTTCATCTGGTTGATCAGTTAAATTCTGTTTGATGTAATCATTTACCCAATAATCACAGGGTTCAAGGTCAGGTGAATATGGTGGATGTGGTATTATATTGATACCTTCTTCTGTTAAATAATTAATAACATAGGAATGACGATGGGGTCAAGCATTGCCGTGGAGCAACTTTATGCCTTTAGTACCATTTGACTTTCTTTGTTTCCGTATTTCTTTGACAACAGGCTTGAGACAATTTTCTATATAATAGTCGTGATCTATAGTCTCGTCATTATCAACAGCATGTATTAGAACAGGACCATTTGATTTAAAGAATATAGAAAATAAATTTTTTCGTTCAAATTTGCGTCGACGANGTCGTTCTTGCTTTTGTTCATCATTCAGTTGATGGGGTATCCAACGAGATGTAACTTTTTTCATCTTGAGATAATTGTGGATAATTTGTTCTATTGTACCACGAGAGAGAGAGAGAGAGAGATGTCTCAGCTATAATATCATCATAAGTTGAATGTGGATCGTTGTTGATAACCTGTCGTACTAATTCAATATTTTCATCTGTAAGCACGGAAACGCTTTGCCCACTCTGCAACTGTTGGATATGATGGAGCCTTGGATCCCAAAGCTGTTGCAAGTTCTTCGTGAATTGTCTTTGGATTTATCCCCAAAATAGTTTGAATTTTTATATAATATCGATTGTATTCATTATCCATTTTTGAAAATTTATTTTTAGTTCGAATTAAAGTTTATCGAAAAAAATACTATAGCTAAATCTAAAAGAGATTTACTATGTATACTATTATAGATAAGACATTCCACTATTTATTCATGCACAACACTCTTCAATATTAATTGGTTTATAAAATTGACAATAGCAATCTGGGAACTTTTTGTACGACCTAAGTATGTTTGCTTTAGTCAAAGTTTAAGATTTTTTTATGCATATGTTGATAAGGAAATAAAAATTTTGATAGTATAGTCCCTTGTCGAGAATCACCTAATGAATCCCCAGGTAGTCCCTGTCGTGAGTCCTCGACGAGTTAAGAAAAATTTGAAAAGTTTCTATGGAGACTATCAAAAACCTACGTAAAAATTCGAAAGTATCTTCGAAAATTCGTAAGGGATTTCTAAAAGATGACTGGAAAGTGCCATAGAAATCTCGAGAAGTGAACAGAGAGTTTCTTGGAATTTCTAAGACACTCTCCACTCAGTTTTTAAGTTAGAAATCTTTTATAAATCTTCGAAGACACTCGGATTTTTACGTAGATTTTTGGATAGTCTCGATAGAAATTTTTCATATTTTTCTCGACTCCTCGGGAACTCATGACAGGCTCTTCTAAAAAATCCAAAATTGGTGGGGACTCTGGGGATACGTTAAGTGATTCTTGACTAGGAACAGAATTTTCGATTGCTGTGCTGCCATATAAATAGGTCAATACAGAAAAATTTTTCAATCGAAGTTGTGACAACGAATTTTAAAAGTCTATCTTCTCTCGAAATGTCGACTTTTTATCGTTCGTTGAAAAAAATTTGAGCCTCCCCTAAATTCAAAATGTTCCACCGCCTATGATATCTTATGATATTAAGTGATCATCAAAAATAGGTGCAAATATATAAAAATTGACAAGTGGGTGAACGCACGAAAAGTTTTTTTTCTACACATCTGGTAGATAGGAAAACTAATGAAACTAGAGGCGTAGATGGGTATGAGAAGCTGATCCATAGGTAGCAGCCTAGAATGCCCTTTAAAAAAAATCCTTCAGTGTAAATGTCCCTAGTAAAAATGACCTTTAAAAAATGTTCTTAGTGATATGGTCTTGCAAAAAAAGTCCTCCATTCAAAAAATTTCCTTCCAGTAAACCTTAAAGAACGATCCATAATAACTTTGATTAAGTAAGTTTATTTGTAATCACGAATTCTTTTTTATTTTATTCGGTTTTATTTTTCATTCGCAACAGAAAAAGAAAGTCCGCGTAATAAATCTTGAGGTGCGGGTGAGGATATGGGGTGTGTGCGAATATGCGAATGTTCTTAGGTGTGGGTATGGGTGAAGGTGTGATGATGATGATGAAGATTGAGTTGATGTTGAGGAAGATGATGATTAGTTTTCATGAACGATCTTTAAATGACGTGTCGCCATTTAAAAATATTAGTCGTGCTTATTTTTAAACTTGTTATATGCATCACCAATCCTACTAGAGCAATCCTTTTCATTCTTACTTGGCTCATTCCATTTTGAACTAAGCATTCATAGAAATAATCTAACCGTCTACCAATATGTTTTTGAATTACAGTACCATCTACATATCGGCCTTATTTCATTTAAAACCTTCAATTCAGAGTGTAGGACATTTTCACGCGAAGACCATTTTTAAAGGGCATTTACTCTGAAGGACATTTTTTCGAGGACAAAATCCAGAGGACTTTTTTTCCTGAGAACATTTTTTAAAGGACATTCTAGCATGAGTTCGATCCATACTAGCAACTACAAAGCAAAGATGTACACTTCACCAACAAAATAAAACCTACGTTTCACAAATGAATTTGACTGGTGTTTATTAATGAATTTTAGATTGTCATAGACATTCATTTAGGAAAAATGATGATATTTTTCATATTCGTTGTAATCGCAATGTGCTCACCAGCTCATGCTATATACTCATCCAGACATAGCTTAAGTTTACAAGGACATGAATTTCAACCTCAATATGGTGTTCAATTGATTTTTAATAATACAGCTCAAAGTCTATTATTGTGCGCCGCTGCATGTAGTCAAAATCCGCCGTGCCGGACTTTTGATTATGATTCAAGTTCACACCGTTGTCGACTGTTCGAAGCGGATCTTACCAATGGAGCAATCATTGCGATGGCTTCTCAAACGTCTATTGTTGGCAGTGTGATACTTTCAGCATCATTATATGCATCGATGTACAATCAATCTTGTTCAGCTTGTCAAGAAAATCGATATCAAACTTGTTCATCGACTACGAACACGTGCCAATGTCCAGGGAATAGTTATTGGAATGGCAGCATGTGTCTATTACAATTATTTGCAAATGCAACTTGTAGTCAAATTGATGCTTGTCGAAGTGATCTTAATCTTAGTTGTATCATAAATTCTTATGGTGAATTCACTCAATGCTTAACAGGTATTAATTTATTTACTATTTTCGTATGCGAAAACTTAAACACGGATAAAATATTTCACTTTTTCATAAAGTTGAAATGATGTTTTGATAGACAAAGATCGCTCAGATAGAGAGAATGTCTGATTATGCATCGTTGAGATTCAATGATGCTGTTGTCAGCCCTAATTAGGGTTTTCTTTTCGATAAGAATATCCTAAAATAGTTTTTTAACATCGCTGGCGTGGTTTCAATAAAGAGAAATGATCTTTGTGAGTTCAAGAAATGTTTTAAAAATAGATCGACAACTAAAGAATCACAGTATTATTGTTATGTCTATATCTGAATCTGAGTGCTCATCAATGATATAATATCGCTAAGCTCTTCTTAATAACAAATGCGCCATTAGATTCTCTATCAATCTCTTTAAATAAGAATGTATAATGCTATATTATTGATAAGTTAGACATTAAAACTAAAAATAGTAGGATGTTAAATATCCATCGAATTTAGTTTTAGTTTATAAGTAGTCTATAAGTGAAGTCACATGTCTCTCGTTAATGTGTGACCTCGATCTCACTTTATCATTAGCCATTCATTTTATCGTACTACATAAAATTCTTTTGCAACGCTCACGTGTATTTGATACATCTCGATTAACCTGAACAGTAGTTTTCCGGTTAAAAGCCATCAAACGTTTTGAACTAGAGACTTTGATTTATTTTAAAGAAAAGACTAGATAAACCCATGAAATCAGAAATGCGTGTAAGCCTCAATTGAGCTTTAACAGATAATTTATGCGTCGACTCAGGCACCGGTCAATATTTACTTTTTTTATTTGGCATGTGCATCTGAATGGGCAATGTCTAAAACCTATATATCTCAAGTTTTAGTGTGTTTGGTTGAAAAATTAGCCGAACCTGACTTTGGACAGCTCACCGATTTTTATAATATTCATCAAAAACTGCTTCCGAAAAATCGGATCTCCTAGTCCTTTAGCAGATCAATCACAGTTTTCGCACAATATACCAGAACATAAGAGTACCGGTAACTGAACAAAATAAGCTATTCAGATTTTACAACTAGTGAAACTGTTACTGAACATTTAAATTGCCTGGTAACAATAACTGGCTCACGTTATGAGTT